ATAGCTTAGGCTGCGACCACTGGTAGACCCAGAGATGCGTGCTTGTCACTCCAGACCTTGCCATTTAGGTCTCCTACTTGGACTAGACAAAGCAGGGTCTTGGAACTTAGCGGCATCACCTACGTGGAAACTGGGGTTGAGGCTGAGGGGGCACAGTGCTGCCACTGGCTCCTGCTCTTGCTCTGAGTAATAAAGCTCAGCCTGGTCCCGAGCTGTGGCTTGCCTGTCTTCTGCCAGCACCTGGGACGCTGCAGTGGGCTAACTGGCTACCTGGGAAAAGGGTGAGAGGACAGTTACTTCACCTCTCTGAGAGTCAACTTGCTCACCCGTCCAACGGGAATGAATAACAAGCGGTGTGGGATGAGAGCCAAGGGCTCAGACCGACTTCTGGCCATGGTCAAGTCTCCGATGCCGTTATTTTCTTTATCTACTCATGTTAGCCAATGTTTCAAACTCACAAAAGGCAAAATAACCAACATAAAAGGGGACTGGAAACCTGAGGTAAGTAAGGAGACAGACTTACAAGGTTCTCAGAACAAAGTGACATTTCATAAGCTCTGAAATAAAGATGCGCTCATGGAACAAACTTACGACTGATAACGTTTTAAAATATTCTGAAGAGAGGGGACAGAAAGCCAAACATGTCAAAAATCCCAGTTTCAACAAGATGGATTCCAGACACTGCAGGCAGCCCGGTTACACTGGGCCCCCGGAATCATTCTGGAATCGATGATTACACAGATGGCTGTGGGGCTACGGGAAAGAACACAGCAATCGTCGGAAGCCAGAATGAGCTCACAAGTAACACACTGTGCTGTACTCATATTTTGTGATAGGATCACTGGATTAATCACCAAAATACTGTGAAAACAGTACAGCTTGGTTTCAGTGAGAATGGGCGACGTGGGAAGGAGAACGTGGGTTAGATGAGAACCTGCGTGGTGCACCGACTGACCTGTGGGAGGATTTCTAGTGGACTGAACCTCTACCCTGGGTCTGAGCAAGTCGGAAAGATACAGCAACCATGTCTGAAGATGGCAGCAGCTGAGAGGAGCAGCCAGCAGGACATCTGAAATACTTCCACAGCCCAGACCACAGCTGAGCCCACAGGATTACGCTCTTCCTTTGCTTCTTCCCTGCCCAGAGGCTGGCGGTTGTAGGGATGAGCCTGGGGGTTTCGGACACCTGCAGGCTCAGTGTCAGCCAGAGACGGGGCTGCAGGCACGGGGGCTGCTCAGTCGGAGGTCCCCTCTGCGCTGTGCTGAGTTCGAGCCTCCTCTTGGTTAAACCTCACAAAGGGCAAGTGCCGCCTCTTGTTTGACAGATGAGGGGACAGGAACTCAGAAGTCTGAGTACATAAGCCATCTGGAGGTCACATAGCAGGTCAACAGCCAGCCAGGGTCTAACCCCAAGTCTGTACAGCCCTTTGGTCCACACCGAGGGGCTTAGTCACATCTCACTAGCAGAACTGCGTCCAGTTTTCCAGGGTCACCCTTATGGTCATGTCACATTGAGAACAAATCAAACTGGTGAGGATGAGGGGGTGGCAGGTGATGAAACTTAAAACACGTTATCATGACTTAGCAGGCCTCTGCAGACTGTCCCTGTTCCTCCATGTGGCCAAGTCCAGTCCTGCCGCCCTGCAGCCACTGCCTGAATGTCCCTCTTCCTACCTGTGCTTCCCTCCTCCTTCCTTGCTGTCACCTGGCCAGCCCTGCCTCTCCTTGCCCACCTCTGCTCCCCTGGGAGGCTACCTTCTGGGACCCAGGCCTGGGCACAAGCCCATCTCCTGCTGCAGAGCCTTCAACAGACCTCCCTCCCACCAGTGCCCTTACTGCTCAGTGACAGAGTCTCTAACTCACCCCCCATTGGGGAAGATTCAAAAACAAGTCATCTTAAGGCCCCTACAAATACTAAGTATATTATCAAAAATTAGTGCAGTAATTTAGATTTAACAAACCTAAAATGCCATCACGAATAGATACTTTCCTAATAGGAATCTAAGGCTTTGTTTTCCAGGACGTCTTACAAATGGACTCCACTGGTGTCTGTACCCCGAGAGAGGATGGAAGCACAGAGGTGCCCACAGGAGGCAGCTCCCCTCAAAACAGCAGCTCCCTCTGCTCTTCCAACACAAGCAGTGAGAGCTCTACTTTTGATATTATTCCATGTTTTCTAAAATGAGTTTCTTTGATTCTACTTTTAAAGGACCCAAATCAACAATGAGTTGCAAATTAAGAATTCTGAAAGTGCCTGGCTAAATAAAAAAGGGCAGAAAATCTGACAAATCAGTGGCAGAAAAGATCACTTCTCTGTCTCTGGAGCTACTCAAATGACAGCACAGAAAGGAAAGGGAGTGCTTGTGGAGCCATCTGATCCCTGCGATCAACACATGACATGCCGGACTCTCTGTACGCCAGTGGGGCCCCTCTATAGCCAGGGTGCAGCTTGGTAGGCAAAACGCCCTCTTGGGATCACCAGCCTCCAGGCACTGCTACACAGTGTCCAGCCCCAGAAGATGCCTTTATTTGGTCTATGTTTTGTGTAGCTACAAGAGCTGGGTCTCCTATAAAGTAAACTAGAAGGGCAAGATTAAGCGGGCCCTGCGACGTGGTGTTATCAGCACAGTGCTCTGTTTAAAGTCCTATTTAGAGCCTGCAGTCTGCCAAGGCTCTCAGAAAAGCCATACATGGTAGGATTCCCCTGTCCCATCCTCATTCAAACGATGTTTTGACAATAAACAGCAAGCTTTATAAAAAAGCCAAAGGCAGGACTTGGAGATGTTAGGAGGGATGCAAAGAGAGTTTTATATGCTGCAAGGAGAGCTTCACACACATCTAATTTCAGCTATTAGTCCCACAGTTAGACTTGGAAATGACCTTCCAGATCAAAGTGGGAGTGGAAAGCCACCACCCTTTGGATGTGGCTGTGGAAGTTTCGGGTTCTCTTCCTGAGCTTTTGTCTCTGTGACCATCAGACTTCGGGGTACTCACTGCTTCTTCCATGATCCCAGGAGTTGAAGTTGGTCTTAGGATGAAGGAAAGAGCATCCTTCAACCCAGTGCTACAAAAGTAGTAAAACTATTCTGATCTTTACCATGTTCCTGGCATACTGGGAGGGAAGGAAGACTTCTAAATTAATTAAAAGATCCTCCCTCTCACAGTAGGGTCAGAACCTGTGCTCCAGCACCAATAGCTCCCAACATCCCCACACACTTTTCAACGGTGTTGTCAGAGAGCCCACATCTACATTAGTGCAACTTATACCCATTGCTCCTGACCCTGTGATCCCTCGATGTTGTTAAGTATTCTGAGTTTTTTTCCCCACAGAATAAATAGCCCCAGCCCTTTCGGCTATCCTTCCTTTGTGGTTTCAGACCCTTCCATGATCTGATCATATGATCTGCTCACACTCCCATTTCTCTATGTCCCTTGAGAATGGGACCCAGAAACCGGGCTGTGAGCCAGCAGCCCCTTCCACATATACCACTGTCCCCATGTCACACATGGGCTCCTATGTCTGCACGATCCTTGTCACCCCAGCCACAAGCACAGACTGCAGCTGTGCAATGAGCATGAATCAGGAGTGATAAAACTGTCACGGCAGGGACACATATGACACACACTCCACAAGCCACACCCTGCAGCTGAGTTTACAGAAGTACAGATTTCAGGAGTCTTAAGTGACCTTGAGTTCCCTCTGCAAACCCTCCTCAGCTAACTCAAGCAGGAGAGCTTCTTGCACCCCACTGACACGGAGCTGAGGGAGCTGGCCAGGATTTGCATCTGGCATGTAATGATCTCAAATCTAGAGCTTTAAACTATCATGGATTATATGGGACCATCTGAACAGGTTCAGAGAAAAGCAAGTGGGAAGATCCTTTTCCAGCTCTACATTCCAAGCACTTGGATGCACATTTTGTTTCTCACATCTTCTAATATGTTTTCATTTCAAGTAGACAACTGGGTCAGACAAGGAGTACTCAGAAGTTCATAAAGGCCGTGGAAGACAGAGTTCCAGCATCACAAAAATGACAAGTAAGGATTCTCTTCCGTAGTTAGGCTAAAACAAAGTCCAAGAAAGGGTACGTATTCATGTAAGTGTTCATAGTTTACACATGTAAATAAAACTTAGCAAAACACAGAAGTGCCATCAGGAGACTGAAATTTATCTAAGAATAGAATGTGGTTCTTTCTTCACACAATGCTGGGCATACTGGCTCGGATATGAGGGTAACTGTGTGGCTACTAGAAAAACAGTCTGCACAGCCACCAAGCTGAAGCCTTGCTCCCACCCCCCAGAGGTGGGTGCCCCAGATGTGCAAGCACAGTTGGTCTCAGTCACAATGGTCTGGCCGTTCTGAAACTGGATTCACTTCCAATAGACACTCTTCTTTCCTGCCATCTCATTTCCAAGTAAAATGTCATCAATTACAAACTAGACAGACAGGTTCTCAACATAGAACCAGACGCCTGTGTGGGCCAGTCAGGGAGAAGTGTAGATGTAAGCAGAAAAGGTCAGATGTATTATATTTCTGTAGACATGTAGTTAAGCAGAAACACAGCAGAATACGTTTGATAAAGTAGCTTGTTGAGATTTAGAGTTTTATTATTATTCATTTTTAGAAAAAAGAAAATTGACAAGATGCAAAGTTCTCACACAACACACTGTCAGTGATGATTGTTCTCCCTGCACCTTAACACAGGCCTTGCTGGTGCGCCAGCGTCAGCAGGGACGGGGCAGCGTAAGTGTGCTGGAGACGCACCGGGACACGCAGAGCACACCAGAGGACTTGGTGCCAGATGATGTTGGGCCGGTCTGTTCCGAAAGCAAGCAAGACATGGTGAGGACCAATAAGGCCTCTCTGTGAGGCACATGAGCGTGCACCTCACCCTGTGTGCTCCCCCCACTGCGTGCCCACTGCCCCTCAGACCACAGCAACAGCAGAACTCAGTAAAGCAGTCCTTTGGTGTTTTTTGCAGGGTTATCCAGGTTCCCAATTTCTCATTTCTGTCTTCCCGCTCACATTTCAGTTCCAAATTCTTGAAGCAGTGCAGGTGCTTGGCATCTTGAATTTTTCAGGATCCAGTTCTGTCCAATGAGAGCACACTAAAAATAACACAGAGAAGACAAATTACTAAGAACGAGCCCACTACTGGCCTTCAAGTCCTATCAACACAGACACAGTCAAGCATAACAAAACAGCTAGATACGCTTTCAACCCTAGCAAGACAGTGTTCCACTTCATTGTGAAAACCATGCCATGGATGAACCCAAATATCTTCCTACCAACAAGACTCCAGTTTATGACTACTCCAAACCAAGTATCTGATCATACTCCTGAGTGGCCTTCTCATCAAAGGTAAGTCACAAGGCAAATTAGAAAATATTTTGAAGTAAATGAAAATGAAAAAAAGTTGTCAAATCAATAATCTGAATTTCCACCTAAGAAACTGAAAGAATAAAAGCAAAGTAAACCAAAAACAAGTAGAAGAAAGAATAATAAAGAGTAGAAGCTACAGAAATTTCAAGCAGAAAAAGGAAAGTGAAAATGTCTATTAAATGGATAAACCTCCTGCCAGACTTGCCAGAGAGAGACGAGACCAATCATCAACATCAGAACCACAGAGGCAACACCAACACAGACCCTAAAGACATTAACAAAGAAACAGAGAACATATGGCAGACAATTGTGTCCTCACAAATTAGATAATATACATAAAATGGACAAATTCCTTGAAAATAGATACAAAAGCTTCATTTCCAAATCCTTTTAACAGTGCAGGAGATGGAGGGTCGGGAACTAAGGAAAGCACAGAGACAGGAACCGAATCAAATGCCTGTTCTTGGAGTAGGTGTTAATACTACTCAAAGGATGGTTGGCCCTTTAGTACCAAATGTCCAACTATCTCAGGCTTCTCTTTGTAATTATGAGGCTACAACAAAAAATAACTGATGGTGCCAAAATTAGCGATGCAGTTGTCCCCTGAAAGCTGAAATAAACCCCAAAGTTTAACCAAGTTGCTTCTGTTCCCTCAAATGTAAATTCTATTTGGTTGGGCTTCAGTAAAGGCAAAAGATTCCTGACAGTAGGCATAGGTCCTCTGGTGATGCCAGTTCTGTGGCTATGTCTCCTGAACACACTCAACACAGTTCACATTCTTAAGAAAGGGTCACAGCATGCGCAGCTGCCTTGATAGATTAATAGCCTTCCATTCCTGTGCCCAGCTTTACTTTGATGTCTCTATATGCACATGACAAAGACAAGGTGGAACCAGCTAGTCCAGGCTCTGCAGTTCTGTCTGGAATCATGTAAGGCGGTGGTTCCCAAGCCGAGGTACCAGAGGGCCTGTTAGAAGCTGGCTGCACAGCAAGAGGTGAGCAGCAGCAATTCAGCAAAGCAGCTTACCCCGTATTTACAGGTGCGGGCCAGCCACTCCATCACAGGCATCACCACCTGAGCTCCGCCCACCTCCCTCCATCCCTCACCCCCACTGCACCCATCATCTGTGGAAAAACTGTCTTCCATGAAACCAGTCTCTGATGCAAAAAAGATTGGGGACTGCTAATATAAGGGATTGAATTTCCCCCAAGGCCAACCTTCATACTCCAAAGCCCACCTTTCCTAAGAGATACCTGAAAGGCCAGCAGGAGTGGCAAACAGACGTCAGTTCCAGGGACCATATCACTTCCAGGTTTTAGTTCAACAACAACAACCACCACCACCACCCATTTGCTCTCATGGTGTACTCAAGATTTTAACCAAACTTTAAGACCCAGGGCCCATTAATACCTTTCCCCTCCTTGCAATATAGTGACTGGAATTCTGAAACTGTCACCCATGTTGACAATGGAGGAACTCCATCTTCTTGGGACAGATTAAAACCTTTGGTTTTTGTTGGTTTTTTTTTGGGGGGGGGACAGCACCTGTGGCTCAAAGGAGTAGGGTGCCAGCCCCATATGCCGGAGATGGAGGGTTCAACCCAGGCCCAGCCAAAAACTGCAAAAAAATCTTTGTTTTTAAAATTGATCATTGGGATCCTGGAGGAATATATTTTTCTCTTATATTTGCTTCAATTAAATATGCTATAATAGTCTATTATTTGGGGACAATAAATTTCTGCTTTTAATGTTTGATGTATAGGTAGGAATTAAAAGTTTGCTACAGAAGAATAAATGACTTAGAAAAATACTCATGATATTCTATTAAATGATAACAACTTAGTATATATGAGTATACAGTGTGTCTCCAACTTTGTGAAATTAGAAAAGGAAATACAGAATTATCTGCTCAGAAAAAGATGTTCTAAGCACTCCATTAATAATTATCTTAGAATGATGAGATAGCAGATGGTTTTTATTTCCATCTTTGGGCAGTTTGGCACTTTAAAAATGAGTGAGCATTAATTTCATAATAAAAATGGCTTTCAAAAGAAATTTTATAAGATAAAGATGACTTAGGAATTCTAGTTCTCTCTTAGAGAAACACAGAACTGGAAGGGATCCTGAAACGCTCTGGCCCAGGAGCTCTCAGAGTTTCTGGGTGCCCCTCTCAGGCACAGAGACTTCCTACAGCACCTGCCTGAAGGGCTCACCATTGAGTCCATTCAGCATCCATGGTGCTGCCACTGGTAGCCCCCATGTCAGCATGCAATGGCCCCCGGGCCGCAGGAGTCACCGCTCCAGCTGAAAGCACCCCCTTCCGTGAGTGTGGGTTGGTCAGCAGATGCTGCTCTCTACTTATAATCCCACCCTTCTCATTTCTTTGACCGTAGCTACAGAACCCAGGTCGGGGCGTCACACCTGGGAACAGCATGAGATCACAAAGCTCACACAGCAGGAAGCATGAGTGGGGAGGGCAGTGAGCCATCTGTGAGGCCCGAATGTGAAGCACTGGGCAGAGGTCTGGTGTTCAAGCTACTGAATGCACGATTCTCTAGGAAAGAGTGGACCACTGAGGCTTGAAACTGAGAAACCTTGGATGAGGGACAATGTTTCTCCCTCTAAGAGCTGCTGGGACGAGAATGCCTCTTTCCAACCCCATATGGGAAGGTGAACTACTGAGGCCAGACTGGACGGGCAGGCTGGGACACCTGTCAGGTGGTGGCAAGAAGTGCCTGCTCACCTAGCACCAGTAAGTCACAGCCTGGTGAAAGAAGGTAGGGGACCCCAGCTTCCTCCACCTGCTGGAATGGTTCTCTTCACTGCCGTTAACCATCAGAGCCAGTGGGAAACTTCTTCAGGGAGGCCAGCCCGGGACCAGAGGCAAGGAGTCCCTGATAGCCTGTTTAAACCCTGCGGCTCTCAGTGACTCACTTCTTACGGGGGCCATTCAAGTAACTGCACGACTCAAGTGCATATACACATACACCTCTGTGCTCCAAACCACTATCAACAGAACTGAGCTTTTTTTATCTATTATTTCAGGTCGCAGCTGGGGGTCTCATCAGAATTCATTTACCTAGAAAGTAAGGCCATTCTGTGCAGAAATATGAGTATAGTTGGGAAGCCAAGTTACCAACAGAAGTAACTCTAGCACTGTTAAGAGTCCAGAGAGCTCCCTCCACTCAGCTGTCAGGGTAGAGAATCTCTTCCTTTGCTTGAGAGCTGATGGTCCCGACTTGACGTATGAGAATGTGAACAGGGTGGTTTGATTTCCTAGGGATGGAAAGCTTGGTGTGATGTAATAAAATAAGAGGGGCCGGGGGGAGGGGCTGACATTACCTAAAGTAGAAGGAACAAACTCTGACAGCTGTTAGTTTTTATTTTTTGGCTTAAGTACCTCTTCGATCTGTTTCTCGGGTATATTTGTATACATTTATATTTAACCCTGTCAGGCTTACAGAGCTTAAAGTGGTTCAGATGATGCTCTCCAAACCCTAACTTGATCCTGTAGCCCAGTGTCATCCAAGTGAACTTTCTGCAGTGCTTGCCAATACAGCAGCCACTAGCTGTATGTGACTACTGAGCACTTGAAATGTGGCTCCTGTAACTAAAAAGGTGAATTTTATTTAATTTTAATTTACATTTAACTATCCACACATGGCCAGTGGCTCTGATTAGATGGCATACTCTGAGTTATGTGTAAGTATAGCTCTGCACCTCACCAATGGGCAAAATCCCCACCACGGACAGCTCGTAAGGCGACAGAAGTGGAAGGCTGGGCCTTTGGTCAACTGACAGCTGACCAAGGAGGAGGCAAGTCAATTGCATGTGCAACAAACAGCCAGGATGATGCTTAAATTCAGGTACAGTGACCTCCAGGTGAGACGATGGGACACAAACACGTATCTGAGAGACACTGTTTAAAACATCCCAAATGTACTGAAAGACATACATTTATAGGTTCAAGAGGGTCAGCAAACCCAATGTGATCATCAGAATGAGGCGCAAATATGACACAAATGCTGGCATTATCAGACAGGAATTTAAAATAATTGTAATTAATATGTTAAGGTCTCTAACGGAAAAAGTAAACAATAAGCAAGAACAGAGAGGTAATGTAAGCAGAGAGAAACTCCACTGAAGGATCAAAAGGAAATAACAGAAATCAAAGACAAGAAGAAAGAAGAAAGCCCTTGACAGCTCTTCAGTAAACTGGACACAGTCTAGGGAAAACTCAGTGGGCTGGAAGATAGGTCCATACGAACTTCCTGGCCCAAATGCCCAGAGGAAAAGAAAAAGAAAAAGGAAACGGGATGGAAAGGAAAGGAAAGGAAAGAGAGAAAAGAAAAGAAGAGAAAGAAAGAAAACAGACTATCCAGGAACTGTAGGACTTGCAAAACGTTGGGTTATTAAGTATGCAAGGTCTGATTTCCCCAAGGACTAAGTCTGACAGTTGATGCCTCTGACGTTTCACTTCTTGTTTTATTCCTACCCTGAGGGTAAATCTTCATTCTCTCAGATGCTTATCTTTCAAACTTTCTTTAGAGCAATTTTTGTAAAACCATGGAAAAGTCAAAAATTTGTGTTATTTTCAAATATGAGTTCTGTCACGTTACCAGCACAGCACAGACAGCTTGAAATATCAACAATGTTTGGAAAGGATGTGGCCAGTGAACAAATGGTACGATGATGGTTTGAGAAGTTCCTTTGTGGTGATTGTAATC